CCCCAAAACCCCAAAACCCCAAAACCCCAAAACCCCAAAACCCCTAAGAATTTATTTATTATTGATTTTATTTATTTATGAAAAACTTCCTAAGACAGCGGAAGACATCTTACCAGCCGACACTTAAGAATGAACCAAGAAGGATGGACAGGCTTATAAATATGATGGGTAGGCATGGTTTTATAAGTTACTAATCTAATGATCTTTCAGCTAATTTTCCTCAAAACTAAACTTCATTTAATTAGAATCTGTTCAATTTTCTGTTGTAATCCTCGATTTAGTTACAAAAGTTGTCAAAAGATTCAGTGAGAAGGATAGATCTCATAAAGTGAGAGAAATGATCGAAAATGAGATAAAAAATCATTTCACTAATGAGTCAAAATCCGGCTCTAAATTTGCATACCTCAATGGCTCTCATCTCACTCAGATAGAGATCAAGATCAAGAGAAAACTCTTGGCAGAAAGAGGCCATAGTATTGAAGTAAGCAGAATCCCATTGATGTTCTAGATGAAGTCTAATGCATCACAGCATAGCACATTCCAAAATGTTGCTAGACATTTAAAGTCTGTATCCCCGACTCCTCAGCAGAGAGGATCAGTTTTTGCAGGTAGTCCTTTGAAGAATAATGAATATTCAACGGCAATGCCTGAACTTGTTCAAGCTTCAGACAATCAGACTCAGAGGCAAATGACCAAATCAGTAGAATTGATTAAGAAAGTTGATCATAAAAGAGTTAAATCTAGAGGAAATCATAGTTATCTTAAACAAGGAGGCATCAACAGTATTGCCCAAAGAATCCCCAGGTTTAACAACCAAGACAATATGAGCTTCTTCAGCGGCCAAGATGAGTGGGATGAAATAGAAAAGTTCAATGCTCTTGCTGAAGAGCGTGATCGAAAACTCAAAGCCATCACAACTCAGAAGAATCAGAAGAAGATGCAGGAAAGTCTTAGGAAGCAGATCCAGGAACAGAGGTCTATCAAGGCATTATCTCTTAATTAATCTCTAGAGAAAGGAAGAAAATGAGAACAAGCGATTAGATAGCCTAACTATGCAGAAAATCCATGAAGAGGAGAGACAAGAGAAAAACAAGCAATTCACCCTTTATAAGCTCATGGAAGAGAGAAAAGAAATGGTGGCCAACCAGGTCCAGGCTCATCAGCTTCATAAATAAACTAAATGACCAAGAAAAGAGGAGGTAAATTTCAGAATGATTCTAGGTATGAAAAATAAGTTAGTCTCAGATCTTAAGCAAAAGATAGAAGCTGAGAAGGAAAAGGAGAGAGAGAAGAAGAAATTTCAACGAAATCTCTATGCTAAAATCCATGAAGAAAATGAAGTCTTAAAGGCAAAGCTTCAACAAGATAAGCTCAAAGAGATGGAACGGGATAAGAAGTTCATCGAAGATTATAACAAAATGATCGAAACTCAAGCGACCAAGAGAAAGCAGGAAAGAGAAGAACGTAATAATAAGATTAAAGGTACTCATTTATGTCTAAACCTTCAGCCAGAATGGAAATCATGGGTGGTAAGATCCTCAAAGACCAAGGCCAGAAGGACAAAGAACATGAGATGCTCCTTCTTAACGGTATCAAACTCAAAGAAGCAAAGGAGAAATCCAAGGAAAATAAAAAGATGATGATTATGAAGCGGGACCAAACCGATTTAAGGAACTTCTTAGCAACTCAGGTCGAAGAAAAGCATAAAAAAAAGGTAGAATCCATACATAAATTTTAGGATCTCGAGCAACAAAAGAACAAGTGGTTTGTTGACCAGGAGCTCAAGCAAGCAATGAGAGAAAAAGAGGAGGATAAAGTTAAACAGCAACAAAGAAAGAAAAGGGAGATAGAAAATAGTCAATTCATAGCTAGCCAGATTGGTAAGGTTTCTCTAATACATATTAGCCGCTAAGAATGACCCCAAGGACAGCAGCTCTATAGGCAGATGTGGAGCAAGAGGCATGAATGCTGAAGAATATTTGCTAAATAAAAAACTCCTGATGGATATAAGCAAGAAGAAACAGGCATATAAACAGGAGCTCTTTAGCACGAGTATTTAAGTTTTTATTATCAATTATTCAATCTCATCCTTAAGAAAAGGGGTTTTGGGGTTTTGGGGTTTTGGGGTTTTGGGG